GAATTATTTTTATTTCAAAATATTTTGCATCAATAAAAATGTTGCTAAATATTTTGCATCATTAAATTTTGCATCATTAAATTTTGCACTTTTTTTATTTGTTTCAATAAAATTTGCATCCTTTATTTTTTTCTTTCTATTCTTCTTTTATCATCTCTTTTGTTTTATTACACTTTATCTTCTTTCTTTTTATATTCTCTCCTTTCTACTTTTATTCTTTCTTCATCATATTCTACTTCTTACTTTCTTTTTATTCTTTTATATCATTCATTCTCTTCTTTTTCAATTATTTGCTTTTTTTCGTTGCCTGATATTGTTATTATATTAAAAATGAATGATATTCTTTAAATATTATTTTCATTTTACATTCTATCATATTTCTTCACTTCTATAAAAGAATGAAATGATATTATTCATTATTTGGTATTGACATTTAATAAATAAACATAAAAACCATTTCATTCATTTTATTATTTATTATACTTTATCTCATTGACATTATTTATTCATTTTCTTTTTTGACTTTAACCTTTTTTCATCTTCTTCTATTTAATTTCCATACTTAAATGATTCAAAAGAATGTAATTTAAAATAAATAACAAATTATAAATAACAAAGAAATAAAAATACAACATAAAAATTTAATAAATCAATTAATTAAGTATTAATAGAAGTAGTTTCTATTCTTCTTGGCTCAGGAAAGACTAATCAAATCTCTGAGTTCTTCTTCTAGTATTTCTACGGAGTATGTTTAATTGAGATAAAAGCAATATTCAATGACATCAATTATGTTTTTAATTACAAGGTTTTTTAGCTTCTTTAACGATGTTAATTTCAATTTTTAATTCTTTGATTAATTTAGTACTTTCTTTATTTATTAATCCATTAATTGAAATTACTACTGGATTTATTCTGACATCTTTTAATTTTTCTATTTTCATTAGCCTATTCTTTAATTCTTTATACTTAATTCTTTTCTTCAAATACACTCAATTAATATTGTAATATTCAACATTAGTCATATCAAATATTAGACCAGTTTTATTCTTTTTATCTAATACATACATATCTGGTATTTTATTATATTATCATTCACTTTTATGCATTATTTGTTTGTTCAATATCATAGTGATGTCTTTATATTGGAACACTATTTCATATGGGGGTTTTTATTGATTATTTCATGTATATTTTCTTATTAATCAATATGATAATGCCAATATTGTCATGTTTCTCCATTTGTGATTATTATGATAAATACAAGATAGTAGAATATGTTCTACTGTAGCTATCTTGTCTTTACAAAGTGTTGAGTATTTCATTCTTTCATTTTTCATTATTTTTGATTTTCTATACCCACAAAATATTGCACCATCATTCATTTTAGTTAATTTGAGAAATGCATTTTTCTTAATATTGAATGACTTCCATGCTTTCACTGTAGTATTTTTATCTACTCCTTTTGACTCAAACTATCTTCTAAAATATCCACTAATTTGATGACACTTCCATTTTTTGATGTATTTGCCAGTCAATACTTTCATTGTGGATTATAATAATATTTACAATTAAAACCATGTCAAGACAATATTTATTTTTTGTTTTTATTTAAGGAATATAATAACATTAAAGGATATAATTAAATACTCTTTCAATTACTTTTTAATGGTATTTATAAATTTTTTAAATAAAAAGCTAGAGAAAGGAAGAAAAAGTCATTGAAAAGAAAATTAATATCAGTTCAGTCTCAGTAAAAACTCTTTTTTCTTTTCTTTTCTCCTTCTTTCCTTTTAATTTTTTCAGTAGGTTGTTGAGTTATTGGTGTTTGTGATATAGAACTAATAGTATTTCTTTTTTCTTTATTCAATTCTGTAATTGGTATTGTCGATGTGTCAATTGAAGGTTGATTGTTAGTTGTTTGTGAAACTGTAACCCTTTTAAATTCTGAACTAATTTGTTTCTTTTTTAAATCTGATTTTATACATTTAGGTGCATCCCCTTCAATACCATATTTAATCCAGTAGTATTGATACTTATTCGCTTCTTCATATTCAACAGAACTCTTTGGAATTTCCTTTCCAGTAAGACGAAGGATATTACCAAATCCATTACCAAATTGAATTAATTTTTTTATTTCTGATACTTGATATTCAGAGGTTTTATCAATAGTACAAATATTTGATGTATTTCGTATTGTTGGAAATAACGTATGAGCTCTACCACAAGCACAACAGAGAAAACACCCATAATTTAAATCAACATAACGAAGATCAGTAGAACCACAATCAGCACAAACTCTATTTGATGGAATACTTTCTAATCCTAACATTATATTTTTTACTGTTAATCCTGCTATATCACTATCAATTCCATCAAATAAATCTAAATGAGTCTCTTCAAAATCATAACTTCCAATAAATGATTGTCTAATATAAAAAACCCATAATAATGCTAATGAAGTACAACACATGTCAAATACCGATTTAGTTTTATCATATGTGCCATAATTAATTAAAGAAATAGATGATGGAGGTATAAAAGCAACACTTGTATATTTTGTAACAAAATAATCATTTACCCTTATTCTTTTAAATGCATCTTCTTCATTTGAAAAAGTACATAAAAACCCATTCCCTAAAATCATATATTTTCCATCAGAACCAATAGGACCTTTCCACCATATATCTCTAATAGTATTTTCACTTAACTGGTTTTTATATTCTTCATAAAATGAAGGTAATGAATTATTAGAATGAGAAATTGTAAGTAAAGACTGTTCTTGTATTTGTGAAATTTGATTATCTAAATCAACAACCCAACCCATTTTTTCTTCCTCATTAAGACAAATAAAATAAATTGTTTTACCTGATTTATTAACAATAAGAAATGTAGGAGATGATTCAATTTTAATTGAGTCTAATACACAAAATGATCCAATTGGAATAACTAATTCAACCGTTAGTTGTTTTTTACTTTCACAAATTGTTTGAATAGTTTCAGTAAATATTTTTCCTTTATGTGAAGTTCCAGCACTATTAATTTTAGTTAAAATGACTGTGTCATTAAATAAAAATAAATAAACACTTCTGTATTTTGTTTTTGCTTCTGGTTCATAAATAGTTATAAGACCAAAACGAATAAATTTTCTTGAGGCATTTGGTTCTATTGGATTAATACCTTGAGAATATTTAAATTTATTTGTTAATTTACCAATTAGTTGTTGAATTTCTAATGTTCTTTTACTTTCATTCATAACTATTCCAATATCAGCTATTGCCTGTAATGAATTATTTAATGAATTATATTCAGAATGTTGAGGAGGTAATGTTTTTAGAAGTTCTTGAAGTAATAAACGATATCTTGGAATTCTTTGAACAGGAAGAATAACATAAGAATTAAAAGTGTCTAAATTATTAATTCTTCTAATTTCATTTAATGCATAATCAAATTGTTTATTTGTTTTTCTTAATTTCTCTTCATGTTCATTAATAGCATCAGTTGAATTAACATAACTACAATATGTTTTTAAAAAATGTGCTAATTTTTGAAAAACACTTCCTATTCCTTGTCCATAATAAAACACTTTTTTTTGAACTTCAAGAACACGTTGATACATCATTTTATTATATCCTAAAATTACTATAACATCTTCTTCACATTTTTTTAATATTTTATCAGTTGGATAAATAGTTAATGCGGTTTTAAGATAAAGGTCTAAAAACTGTTGTAATTTATTGACATAAACTTCTTCTGTTTTTATTAATTCTTTAACTACATTCTTTCTTTGAACCAATAATTTCATTGTTGATTTACTTGATTTTCTACTTAGAAATCCATATATTCTTCTTTGAATATTTTTAACAAGATTAATATCATATTCTTTTTCAATCCATTTCTTCTCTTTAGAACTTTCTGATTTGAATATTTGATTTTCTTCTATTTTTTGATTAATTTCATTAATTTTTTCATCGTTATTTGATTCATTTTCAGTATGTATTTTATGTTGTAATTTCTTTGGTTTTTCTGGAACTTTTGGTGGTTGAAGTAAAATCTCATCATCTTTTTGTTCAGATGTTATTTTTTGGTTTAATTCTTTTGATTCTTTAATAATAGATGATTTAATTTCTTCTTCTGTATTTGTTTCTTTAATAATTGAAAGATTTTCTGATTGAGTCTTTCTAGTTTTTGAGTACTTCTTTTTTGTTTCAATACCTTTGACTTCCTCAGTTTGACATGGTTTATTTTCTTTTTTTGGAGTAATTTGTTTTTCATGTTGAATTTCTTTTGTTTGTTCTTGTTCTTGAATATTATGTATTTTTTTAGTGAATGGTTCTGTTTCATTTTGTAAACGAGACTGGTATTGGATAACTCTATTCATTGTATTTCTTCCTAATGTTCTTCTTTTTTGAATTTTTGTTCCTGATTTTTGACCAATGAAGAATATAAGACTTAAAAACTGTTGAATTTCTCCATTGGCTAAAAGAGTTGCATCTGAACCTATTGGTTCTCCATAATTTTCTTTTATCATTTTAAGCAACACATCCATATTTTGCTGTATTTGAAAAATATTTTTTGGATTACTGTTATATCTAACTGCACTTTTATGAGTAAGTTTTTCAACTATTTTAATTAATTTTATTCCATTTTGTAATCCACTGAGAAGATCAGTTATTGGGTCATCTTCCAGTTGTTTATTGATCCATTCAATACAGTCTTTGTACTCTTCTTCTTTATAATTCATACTTTTTCAAAAAGAAAGTTTTACAATTCTTTTGGAGTTCAAAAAAAGAAACAAAAAACTAAAAATTGTGATAAACTTTACTCAAAGAATTTTCCATTCAAGATATTTAAAAAGTTATTTTGAATTTCATTTAATCTAAAAATGAAACTATTTTCGAATAAAAAAAAAATATATATATATATATAAATCAATGTAGAATTGAATTGATCAATTGATTCTTTATCATGTATCATTGTTTAGCGTAATATTATTTTTTTTTTTAATTTGTTTTGTTTACTTTTTCAAGAGAAGTAAAAAATTTAATAATAAACAAAGTAGTAAATCCAGCAAAGAGAAGACAAATTATTCCAAGAAGAATTAAAAGAGGGACATTACCAGGTAATCCTAATATTCCTTTTTTCATTGAAATAAAATAAGTAACTCCTTTATTTAATTCTTCAATATGAGTAGTACGTCCCATATAAAGTAAAGTAACATAACAAATAAATGGATTGCATTCAGTTTTATTATCAAAAAGAACACAACCATTATTATTAGTTTTAAATTGTAAATTAGATTCATCTAAGAAAGTTGTATTAGTAGAATAAAGTTTTGGTTGAAATAATGAAACTCCATAAATTGTTGGAATACTTCCAAGTGAATGAATTTTAATTTCATACATTGAATTTTTATCTAATTGAAGTGGATTAATTTGATAAATAAATGTAGTATTATATTGTTGAGTATTTTTAATTGTAATGTCAGGAATAAGTTTTTTATTTTCTTCTGCAAAACTTAATGAAATAAATGAAATAATAAATAAAAGAAAATAACAACTCATACTATCAAGTCAAATGGGTTTTATTATTTTATGTTCTTTTATTTACTTTTTTTTATTAAATTAATAAAAATTATTTAATATTCTTTTTTTTTTATTTATTTATTAATATAATTTTATTTGAAAGTTTTATGCTACAAAAATTTAAACAACATGCTTCTCCTTTAGAAATAGAATTAGCTTGTATCTTTGATGAAGAATTAAATGAACCGTTTGTTAATTAAAATGAAAGTAAATAATAACTTTTTTTTTATTAAAAATGTAGAGATTTACTTTTTGTTAAATCATTTGATGAATTAATTGCACTTTGCCAAAAACATAAACAATCAATTAAACCAAATGTTGTACGTTCTTTTTTAATAAATTATTCATCTTTTGTTTCAAATGAACTTGTTCAAGAAAGAAGTGCACTTGAATTATTAGAAGCAATAAATACACCATTAAGTTATGGTATAGTATCATTTGATACGTATTTTCCATCATTACAACCCTCTGGAATTATTGAAATAGCAGGAGAGGCAGGTGCTGGAAAGTCACAAATATGTATGCAAATAATAGTATTAGCAATATTGTGTTATAAAATACCTTGTTATTATATTTGTGATAAAAGATTTGTTTATCAAGAAAGAATTGACCAAATAGAACATTACTTTGCTCAACTCCTTGACTTTAATCCAGTTGGTGTAAACTCATTTTTACAAATACATAAAATTCAATCATTTGATGATTTTGAACAAACACTTTGTTCATTAAAAGAAACTAATGACAGTGGATTAGTTATTATTGATTGTTTTGGAACTATTTTAAAAACTTCTTTTGAAGAAAATTATAATGAACGAAGTGTTGGAATTAGTAGAACAGCAACAATACTCAATGAACTTAATGTCCAAGGGTTTGTTGTTATTACTACTAATGAAGTTGTAGATAAAATAGAACAAACAGAATCGATACCATTTGAATTTCTTGAATTGTATAGTGATTTAAAAACACTTCAAATTAGTACTGGACTTGATATAAATTGTGATGGAAGGGTAATGACAAGTTCAAGTGGAATTCAATGGGCATATTTTGTTACACATAGACTTTTTGTTTATAAGACAGAAGAGAGTCTATTTTCTGCATGGGACACATTGAGCGAAACGACACAACAAGAATTAGATGAGATTGATGATGAAATGAGATCTAATATTAAAATTAGAAAATGTGTTATTAATAAATCAAATGAGAAAGAGAAAGGAATTTGTCTTGAATATTGTATACTTCCTTCTCATGTTTGTGGAATTGAAAGAAGACAACTAAATTAATGAAATAGTCCATATGTTGTTTTTTTATGAAGTTAATTTAAATGAAAATTCATTTATTGTATTTCTTTTGTGAGTAAAAAACATTTGTTAAAGTATATCAAAATAGAATGAGGACGAAACAGAACTAATCTTCTTGTAATTTTTACAAATCATTAAAAAAGGAATGAAAAAAATCCTCCTTTTCCTTTTCGTAAAAAATAAGACAAGAGCCAAGGTACTACAGATGACGTGGGCATGACTATAAAAACAACTCTCATCAAAAAAATTATTTAGTTTTAATGAAAGTAATCATTTTACTTTTATTAACTTTTCTTATTAATATTGTTTATGGTGGTTATTGTACCCAAGAAGGTTGTAATGAAACATTGTTAGACAAATATTATTCAAGGTTTAGTCATTATAACATTAGTATTGAAGCTATGTTAAAAGAAAAAGAAGAATTTAAAAAACAATATTCACCTAATAATGAATATGGTTATAATAATACTATCGAAGAATTTGTTGCTGAAGAACTTCAAGATCGTTTAGATAATAAAATTTTCTTCGATTATACTGCTAATGGTGTATATACTAAATCACAAATGCAAAAAATATTTGAGAATTTAAATTCTAAATTTTATGCTAATGCACATTCACATAATAGTGTTTCAAGTAGAACAGATAATGCAGTTCATGAAGCTCGTCAATTAATTTTAAAAAGATTTAATGTTACATCAGCTGAATATACAGTAATTTTTACAGCTGGTGCTACTGGTGCACTTAAATTAATTGGAGAGAGTTTCCCATGGACAAATAACTCTAAATTTATGTATTTAAGACAAAACCATAACAGTGTTCTTGGTATTAGAGAATATGCTTTAGAACAAGGAGCAGAATTTAAAACAGTTACTGAAGAAGAATTAACATCTGAAGGATGTGAAAATTTATTTGATGAAAAATGTGACGGAATTCCAAAAGTACTTCGTAAACCAACATTAACAGAATACCCAACTAAAGTTTATAATTTATTTGCATTCCCTGGAACTGAGAATTTTGCAGGAGTTAAATATCCATTAGAATGGATAAATAAATTTGGAAATGAAAAAACTGGAAAGAATAATAATTGGTTAGTTTTATTAGATGCTGCTGCATATCTTAGTACTGCTAAATTAGACCTTAGAAAATATCCAGCCGATTTTGTTGTAATGTCTTTTTATAAAATTATGGGATATCCTACTGGAATTGGAGCTTTATTAGTTAAAAATGAAGTAATGGATTTAATGCAAAAGAGTTTCTTTGGAGGAGGAACTGTTGTTATGAGTGATTGTGATACTCATTTTTGTTTATTACATGAATCAGGATGTCAACGATTTGAAGATGGAACAATTAGTTTCTTATCTATTGCATCATTAAAATATGGATTCGAACAACAAGACTATTTTGGAGTACAAAATATTCAAAATCATGTTATGTCTATTGTTGATTATTTGTATGATAAATTAAGTAACTTAACACATTCAACTGGTCTCCCAGTTTTTGAGATTTATGGTAAACATGCTAAACATGACCATTCTATTCAAGGTCCAATTATTAATTTAAGTGTTAAAGATGAAAAAGGTAATTATGTTGGATATTCTATTATTGAAAAGAAATTAGATGAAGCTGGTTTCCAAGTTAGAACAGGATCTTCTTGTAATCCAGGTGCTTGTTATGGCTATTTAAATATTACTTCTGACGAAGTTAAGAAATTTAGTTTATTAAGAAATGGTTGTGGTGATGAACATGATATTATGGAAGGAAAACCATTAGGAGGTGTTCGTATTTCATTGGGATATCTTTCTACTTTTGAAGAGGCATATGCTTTTGTTGAATTCTTCAAACAAAATTTCCAACACTAAAACTAAATTTTTTTTTATTTTTTTTAAGTTTAAATTTTTAAGATTTTTTTTTTTGAAGTTTTTGATAATTTTTTTAAAATTGTAATTAGTTAAAATAAAAAATATTAAAATCAAAACAAATGGATAATTTTATACAAAATAAAATACTAAAATAGTATAAATTAATTAAAAAAAAAATAATAAAATAAAATGTTATAAAAAACGAAATATTATACCATTATAAAAAAATAAATTCTATAAAATTTGTTTCAAAACTTAAAAATGGTAAATTTTTTTTGTTAATGAGCAAAGGGATTGAGATTAATAAAGAAATTAAATTAAAATCTGAACAATGGAAAATACCAGGAAGAGCTCCACCTAGTGTTATTGCAGAACGTGGAATGACATTAAAAGAATGTGAATCAGCACATAATTTCATTTCTGAAACAATCAAAAAATTAAGTAATCTTGATAAATTAATATTTTATGATCAATACACTGATGACTTAACACCTGAATTATTATATAAATATCAAACAACAGACGTTTGTTCTTTTAGAGTAAATAAATTTATTAAAGACAATATTAAAATAATACAATGATAATAAAACAATGATTTAGTAATAGAAATGTTATACTTTAATCTTACCAAAAGAAATCAGTTATCAATGTTTAGATTGTTCTGATGGAGATCTTCATTCATTTATTCTTTGTAGTGAATGTGCAGAAGAACATAAAAAAGCTGGACACCTTCTTTTGCAACATATGAGCAATGATACAGAAATATGTCATTGCGGTGATATATTTTTAGAAAAGTCAAAGATTAAAGTATGTCATATTCATCAACATAATTCAATTCAAGTTAATGCATCTGATGAATCAAGAACTACTGAGGAAATTAATGCTATTAAAAAAAATGTTGAAGAAATATTTAATAGAATTGAAATTATGGCTCAACTCGTTATTCCAGAAATGGTTATTCAAATGTGTGATAAAATTCTTGATGTTCTTTCTAAAAGATATGAACCAGATATTAGAGTTTTTGTTTTACATATTGTCAGATGGTTAAATCGAGTTATTAGAATAAATCCAATTAGAAAAGTTATTAAAGAAGTATTTAAAACAAAGATTAAAACAAATGGTAGGTTTTTATTAACTAATTCAATCGAAGAATATCAAAAAAATAATTGTTTGTATGTAAAAAGAAGAAGTCAAACTGAGTTAATTAATACTGAAGTAACTGCACATGAAATATTTCTAAATCTTTGTATTATGAATCAACCAACAAGTTCATATGTAGCAAGGTTATTATATTTAATTTTAGATGAAGAAAATAAAAATGATTTTCTTCCAGAATATCGTAGAGCATATGCAACAGTAGCTTTTCATGGAACATATTTACCAAAACATTTAGGTATTCTATTAGATACTATTGATGTTAAAACAATCATTCCTCATATTTTAAATTTATTAATTGTTGTTATAAATGAAAAAAAACCTTTAAAGGATAGAAATGCTATGAGTCAATTTGTTTCATGGTTGTTAGCTGATGAAGATAACATTCTTGATATTATTCAAAACGAAAATAATTTGACTACATTTATTGAACTATGTGATCAACTTACTTTCTATCCAACTCCATTAGATAAAACAACTAGTTCTGTAATGAAATTATTCCACCCCATATTTATTGCCGTTATGACACGAATTCAAATTGTTTCTTTCAAAGATTCATTTCAAAGAAACAATGAAGAAGAAAGTAATTCAGAAAATGAATTAATAAAAATGCATAGAAGAGTATCTTTACTTATTGGAAAATATTTAAAAGAACATGCAGAAAATA